GGAAAATGTCAGGATATCTATCTGTGAACTGAAGCTCCAGAGAAAATGGTCATGTTGTAAATGTAAGAGAACAATTCAAAACACACAAGTCGTATGAACAAAAAGTGGTTAAATCAGAAAAAAGTTAATGTTTTGAAATGACCAAGTCCTGATCTTAATTCTATAGAAATCTTATGAAGTGGCCAGTTCATGCAATGCAGCCCATCAACATTCCTGAATTGAAACTGTTCTGTAAAGGAGAAGGGGCCAAAACTCTTCCAAGCCAATATGCATTTATGATTGATCAACCATTATCAGAAATTTTTAGTTTGAGTTATTCCTGACCAAGGGAGGCTATTGAAAGCAAAAGTTCTGATAGTTTTGTCACACATGATTTGTAGCTTTGAATCTTTTTCCTCAGTAAATGAATAAATAATGGAATTGTTCTCATAAAACATCATAAGAGATGGCAGAGGATGATGCCAGTAAACACAAAAGCTCTTCCTTACATTCTTTAATATTTTCATAATGAAGATTTTCCTTAACCTTCCCACACAAACAAAGTCAATTAGTCAATCTGATAAATTGTGCAGCAGAAAACCATAATCTTGCTCACTATGTTGTTCCGCCAGGCCGGACTATCAACATAATAGTTTTAAATTGGGGTATTTTAAATTTCTGGGGTTTTAAATTGAGCCAAATCTATTTAATCATTTTAAATTTTAATCGTTGTTTTGTCTTGTGTTTTTAAATAGGCTGTACACCGCCCTGAGTCCTTCGGGAGAAGGGCGGTATAGAAATAAATTATTATTATTATTATTATTATTATTATTATTATTATTATTATTATTATTATTACTATAAGAACTGAAAGGCTAGGATCAGTAAGAAATCAAAATTGTTTGAAAAAGGAATAACTATTTACAAATAGTCAAGAAGCAAAAGAGTGTATGTATCAGGTTTGAAAATATCCTATGTGCCTTTTTACTTATGAAATCCACTTCATTATAAGGGTGATAGGAAAATGCACTTAATATTTAACATCTTGCACCCTTCATCTGACAACTTGATAGAAACATTTGTGTTCAAAATATTAAGAGCTTCATGGAAGGCTACCTTGAAGTTGATTCTGTAGCTTCTTTTTTTCAGGATCATCTGATTCTCCTTCCCCATCACTATCATTCCTAATTTGGATGTAAGTAAAGCACACAGCTAAAACAGAGATAGATTCTTTTGCTCAAGATTGATTCATTTCTAACACAAATAGTCTTCCCTCAGAGAACATACCAAAAAACACCAGAAGTTCAGGTTCTTATACATCTTTAAAGTATATTATTACCAAAAGATTAACAAAAAAGTTGTTTATAGGCAGATGTAATTTAGTCTTTCTTAAGCAGATTTGTACTCTGACCTGGCCACTTACTCTTTAAAACCCCATCCCCCCAAATTATACAAGATTTTTCAATATGTTGAGGAAGATATACATTTAATCTTAACATGATTTCCAGTAAGTGTGAGAGTTAAAGTTTGGAAAGCTGCTGCTGCAGGGAAGAACCAAGTAAGTTCAGTCATTACAAAGCTCTCTCCAAACAGCATGGAAGTTGTTTTTCTGCCTTCAACAGGAAAAAGAACTGAGGCCCAAAATTAATTTGAATACAATAGATGCATCCGATTTTAAATCATGTTTGGAACAGATCCAACAAAACCAACAGCCATTAATTCTGAATTCAATCCAATATTCTACTATTTCATTATTAGAAACAATAAGTCTACCACAAATTAAAAAAAAAAATACAAGGAAAGACGAGCCGATACCAAAAGCCTAACCACCCACCCCACCAACCTCCCAAGATAGCCGAAACAGATACAATGGATATAATTCAACTGGTGATTTCAATTCAGCAGATGGGAACCATTTACAAAGTACCCCTGACAAGAGTTTGTATCCAAATAAAGTCTGGCCTAATTAATAAAAATCAAAAAGTTCTGCACTGATATTTGACTCCATTCCTCTCTTCCCCCCCCCCCCCGTTTGCTCCTTGATTCTAAGATGTATGTCCATTCAGATACATACATGCATACATAAAAAAAACAGGGTCTTCAGTACTGTGTTCATTATTTCCTAACCCCTCTGGAAAGAACAAATTAAAAGAAATCATAATGCACATAATTCTTAGAACCAAATATTTTAGAAACAAGTACAATGACTATGTAAAGGAAAACGGTGATATATAAGTTAACTGGAGTCAGAAAAAACTGGTATAAAAATACAGAATATACTGTAATATTTCCATAATTTGCTAAAATCCAACAATATTTTGAGTACTTTTTTTTCATGATACAGAGAGGAATAAATGTAAAATATTGGAATAAATTAAGAAGATGGCATACCCTTTTTCATCAGCTGGACCAGATTCTTTCACTGGTTTAAGAGGAGTTTTCTCCTTCTTTTTCAAATAGTCCTTCAGCTTTTCTGCTCTGTCCAAATATTCAGTACATTTTGCTCTGATGCTTTGTTTTGCTTTGTCACCCTGTGCCTCATCTGATAAAAAGAAATTCTTTTACTTCTCAAAGAAATAGCTACTTAAACCACACACACACACACACACAATATCTTTCTCTTTAAAGCACTACAAATTGTTATCAGTGATGAAACTATTCTTGTTTTGCTGATTTTTCAATTAGGACTCTGGAATAGCTTAACAATTATTTGATTTTTAAAGAATGTTGGCTATGTTCTTGAACTTAAAAGACAAAACAGATTGGAATATTTTTAACAGATTGGGACCTATAAGGAAACAAATATCTACAGCTTCTATACTTCAATGAACCTTTCCTTAGGAGAAAAAACCCCCCATAATTTTATAGAAAACTAAATAAAACGAGATAAAAATGAATGAACTAAATAGTAACTAAATTATTACTTAGTTATTTCTAGTGAATTGGAGTGAGCAGGAAAGGTTAAATAACTTTCTAAATGTCTAAAACTTTCCCTTGAAATGTTAGATGGTCTTTTGATAGTCCAGAAAATGTAGCAAGGCACAAAACACAGATTATACATGACATGAGCTGACCTCTTTTAACTGAACTTCTGTGTTCAGTTTCTTTATGTATCTTCTCCCCCATTTTTAGTCCTTCCCTCTCCTGCTACTCTTTCTCAAGTTAATTTCCTATCTTCATTGCTTTTTCTTACTCTTTATAATTAATCTTACAATTCCTTCGGGAGGCATTCTTCATCCAACAGAGAATATATCCATTTTCTGCCTTTTGCTTTCACTGATAGCCAAGCTTACATTTCTTCAAGTATCTCTTACACAACAAATTCTTAAGTACTTCCTTAAAATGCTAACGAGCTTATTTCAACTGAAATTCATGACAATTCATATGTTAACATTTTAATTTATTACTAAGTATTTCTACCTTTAAAGATAATCCTTTAAGGGACAGTAGGATAGGATCCTAACCAGAACAATTAACCATATCCTTTTCTTGAGGCCATTAAAAAAATGTAAAGATAATCTGTAGTTTTAGAAAACATCCCAAAAGTTCTAAAAGCCATTAGGAAGATCAATGCATTTATTTTTGCTTCTAAAACAGAGAAGAATATGAAGTTTATTTCTAGCCACATATATTTAGTATAATTCTTACATTTAACAACATGAAGAAAATACTGCACAGCATGTTGATACAAACGTAGGGCTTCCTCAAAGTTCCCTGCTTTATCTTCTTGTGCTGCTTTGCTAGCAAGGTCTATTGCTTTCTAGAAAAAAATATAATATTAAAAAATATTCGGTCAATTGTTCTTTAACTAAAATAAGTTTTCAACATATAAACCTAAGAATATAGTATGATTACATTACAACTCCATTTTTAACAGCCTTAAGCTATTATTGAAAGTAAATCTTATGTGTGTGTGTGTGTGTGTGTGTGTCCATGTCCGTATCCTGTTTATGTTGCAATATTTTCTATGAATCCCACAAAAACATTCCTGCCAGGACCCAAACTTTCAGCAGAAGCTTTCTTTCTCTTCTAACCTGAGGATTTATTACTTCATACCAGGGTGGATAAAAATCAATGATTTTTTTAAAAAAGATTTTTTTTAATTTAAATAGATTTTTTTTTATTTTAATCAAACTTATTTTAATAAAATGCTTTTCGAGTATAAATCTATCTAAAGATAGTTTTCTATTTCAGATACATTAAAAATTTAGCTTATTCAGCATGAAATGGAGCTTAGTTATGTAACATGAGGCTGTATTATATTTTTCAATATTGGCACTGTCAGTAAGTCAACAGTGGGTCAGAGGAGGAGCCGCTGCGGGACAGAGATGACAGTTGCTCTTTAAAAATTATGATTTAAATCAAGTTGATTTAAATCAAGCCTTTTACCAGTGATTTAAATCATGATTTAAATCAAATCCACACTGCCTCATACAGTATGACAGTTTGTTTTTGTAATTGTTTGCATTTACCATATTTATATTCCTACCTATACTGAATCCTGAAGCACCCACATTGCAATTGAAAGCAATATAAACTGTTCTGTAAGGGATTACTAAGGGAAAGATATTGTCTCAAATCTAGCATGTTATATTATGGATATAGTGATGATTAAAAATTATGACGACCAGGAACATTTCACTGATCTGAACATGGCCTGAATACCATAGAGGTTTCATGCTTTATAATACATGAAATGCATATCAAAAATCTTTGCAAACATTTTTTTTCAAGTAGCTACTGAAGTTTCCAACATTCTTTTAATTTGTTTGCAAAAACCAGGAAACATTTTCTTTATAATGCCACACAAAAACTTTGTTAGTATTTAATTATTATTTATTGGAAAAATAGTTACATTAAAATTGTGATAAGGTAATAATCACTTTGCAGGATGTATATGCATACTTACCCATGTTTTCAAGTAAGACTTTACATTTATAAATTATAATAAAAGTTATATTAATGAAATAGTAACTAATTCATTACCATGCTACTAGTAATAAACATTTTTTTCTTTTTAGCTGTATGTTAAACACCTCCAATCAAACAATAACTTGGTTTAATAATACAACAATTAAACATGATGAGAATCAAGAAAGGTGACTACGATTATGCTACGGAGCCAGAGGCATAATCAAGTTAAGTTAGAATTGTTTCCTTCAACCGATTATGAAGAGGAATGAATAAAAATACTCCTTACATCTCCACCCACATACAGGTAGTCATCGACTTACGACCAATTTAGCCCAAAATTTATGTTGCTAAGTGAGAAATTCGTTAAGTGAGTTTTGTCCCATTTTATGATTTGTTTTTTTGCCACATTTGTGAAGTGAATCACTTCACGATTATGAGTGAATCTGGTTTCCCCACTGACTTAGCTCACAGGTGTCAAACTCAATTGCGTCACGTGATGTTACATGACGTATCGTGACTTTTTTTGCCTTTGCAGAGCCGGGGTGGGCGTGGCCTATGCGTGATGCATCTGGCCCGTGGGCCGCCAGTTTGACATCCCTGATTTAGCCTGTCAGGAGGTCGCAAAAGGGGATCACATGACTCTGGGATGCTGCAACCATCATCAATCTGAAACAACGGTCAAGCCCCCGAACGTAAAATCCCATGACCATGGGGGAATGCTGCTACGGTCCTAAGAATGAAAAATGGCCCTGTCATTTTTTTCCTCAGTGGCGTTCTAACTTCCAACGGTCACTCTGCAAACGCTGTAAGAGGAGGACTACCTGCAATGAGAACAAACTCCTAATTTTGCGTCCCTCATACCGACTCTGACCTAGGGAGGCTTCTTGAGCTGTTTGGCAAAGCAGAAACAAACAGGATAATAATATCATCCGGCAATTGTCCTAAAGCATTTGAACTTCAACCTTAATTTCTTCAACCTAATAATCCAGGATCTGAACTCTCTTGGTAATATTATAGTTCCTTCAGGAAACACTTTTCTCCCCAGCCACTCCTTTAGCTCAAGTCTCCTCCTCTTCCTCCTCCTCCTCCTTCCTGCTTCTTTAAACTTCCCGGTTTACAAGACCAGGATTAGAGAGCGCTGGATCAGAGCGAAGGTCCCGGGATTGCAAAATCCCGTTCCTCACATTGGGCCAATCAATTACCGTAAATACTCAACGTAAAGGCCCCAATGAAGCCCCCCCCCCAAAAAAAAGGTGGTGGGGGGGGGAAGCAGCTTTCTCCTGCGGGGGTCGGGCAACTTGTTCCCTATTACCGGGTTAATGAGGGGGGGGGATAGCAGGGCCACAGTAAAAGCCACTCCGGAGGGCACAGCTGAAACTCAGGCCAAGTCAGGGTCCCCCCGCCACCCACATTGAGGCGCTTGAACGCGCCTCACCCCCCTCCCGTCCCTCCGAACGTTACGCTTTCTCCCCCCCGCCCCTTTGGAATGTGGGCGGTGCCTTTCTCACGCGACCCCCCCCCCCCCGAAGCCGAGGCCCCGCTCACCTGCAGGTTGGAGTTGGCCGCCATGATGGGCGGGCGGACGGGGGAAGCGAAAAAAAAGGACAAAAGAAACTGAAAGGGAAACCTATCGCTCGCCCACCTCCTCAAGAAACTCCGCTCCTCCCTCGTCCACCCCCCCTCCTCGCCCTTCCGTCGTTCTGCGGAGACAAAATTCTCTCTTTAAAAAAGAATAATAATAATAAAAAAAACCACAACACAACCCCGAGTTTCTTATTAACTTCCGCAACTCGGTCCCCGCAGCCGGCCGAAATCGACCCAAACGGCTCTTCCGCATCCGCTGAAAGGTGCTGACGTCACACACCGCGCCTTCGTCGGATCAGGACCGACGAGATGTCAAAGCCGGAAGTGCAAAATTATGGGCCGCTTCGTGATACTGGGGGTGGTGGGGGCGCGCGCATGCGCGGCAGCCGGGCCCTCTTCCGTCTTCTTGTTTGTGTTCCTCTGCTGCCTGGTGGTGTGTTTATGCTCGCAGTTATGCGGATTATTGCTTCCTCTGTTGTAATGTAATTGTAAAGGAACGCACCTTTTGTTTAAAAGCAATTTAAAAAGAAATCCTAAACTGCAATCCTACTTACTGAGTAGGCTTATTTTAAATTAATGCTTAATATAATGAGGACAAACTTCCTTCGGAGGAAATGGAGATTGCACGGTTTGTTTGTTTTAGTTGTTCTTGCTAGGTCAAGAAAACCACAATAATGGTGCTTGGTGCCAAGCAAGTGAGCCCTCCTATGGAATTAAGGCTCTTTGAACATCGTGTTGGGCGTCATTGGCATATTGATGACACTAATGGAGAAAGCAACAAAAGGCACCAAAAAAACCAAAAACAAAACCCACACCAAAAGACAAGACGAGAAACGATGAATGGAAACGAACCAATGAGAGAAGCAACCAAGAACTAAGGAGAAATTTCCTAATGGTGAGAACAATCAATCAGTGGAACAACTTGCCTTCAGAAGTTGTGGTTGCTCCATCATTGGAGGCTTTCAAAAAGAGACTGACAATAATTTATCTGAAACGGTATAGAATTTCTAAAATTCTGGGCTTATGGAAGCTCACCAAAATGAAGGTGTTAGCACAACCTGGACACGGATAATTTTTTTTAAATCAAAAGATATTCAGCTAAAGTTAAAGAGATTTCATGTTATTACAATTGGACCTATGTCATTCGAAGTAAATTGCTTTCCAATAGAAGGACATGAGCTGAAAATACCTGAACTAAAACAGCAAACTGCAATAAATGTCTATGGAGATTCTCAGTCATTCAGGTCATGGTTGTTCTAAAGGTGCTTTTTCAAGAGGCAACTGGACTTCCTGGTTTTTCTTGGAAGATATTTCACTTCTCATTCAAGAAGTTGCTTCTGCTGTGACTGGATGGTGGGGGACGTCTTCCAAGAAAAACCAGAAAGTCCAGTTGTAACTGCAATAAGATATTAATTCATTGACTTATGTGCTACCAAATCCATGTCATCTCCTAGACCTTTAGGATGATCTGCCTCAATTGATCCAACAGTGCATCCATCACCAATGTAAATGAATCCATCCTGTTTGCTGCTGGCCATCCTCTTCTATTTATTTCCACTTTTACAGACTTCTCAGCTGGGTCTAAGCATTACGTGCCCAACATATAATTTGAGTGCCTCAAGTGAGAACTTTGGATTGATTTGGTCTATGATCTGTATATTTTCCTCATCCACTCTACTCAAGAATCCTCTTCAACACCAAAGTTGAAAACATCAATACTTTTTGTAACCAGTGTCGTTAAAATCTATGTATATCAGTTGAAATTTAGGCTGTTTGAAGAATATATTAATAGTGAAAGAATGATTGGATTGGCAGAAACTGATAAGCAGTTCTGCCTCATTGGTTCCTAGATCGTATGATTTTTTTTGTCTGTGTGTCTGTGTTAACTCTGATACTACACTGCCAATGCTTAAAAAATCTTGACATAAAGATCAAGGTACCATATTTTTCAGAGTTAGATGCTCCAGAGTATAAGACACACATTAGTTTTTGGGGAGGAAAACAAGAAAATTCTGCCTCTACCTACCAACATCCATCGGTATTCATCTGGCTAGCGTCCTTGCAGCAAATAGCAAACAACCTGGTCAGCTTTAGCACATCGCAGCCTTATTCAGCACAAGCAGCTGATTGGCGGGTGGATTGGCATCCCGGAATACCCCCAATCAGCTGTTCCAGGCTGCAGGGATTGCCACAGATCATCTCCGCCTCTGTGCATCGCATTTTTGGCTTCTGTGCCTTGTGTTTTTGGCTTCCGAACACTCTGTTTTAGACCTGTCCCAGGCTGCAAGGATTGCCACAGGACATCACTGCTGATTGCTGCCTCTGCATGTCGCATTTTTGGCCTCCGCCCTTTGCATTTTTGGCCTCCAAACCCCTTTTTTGGCCTTTGTGCATCGCATTTTTGGGTGGTTCCAGGCGGTGGAGATCTCCGCCGCCACCAATCCCCTCCACCGCCCGAACTGTCTGAAAATGCGATGCATGGAGGCCAAACACGGGGCATGCAGAGGTTGAAAACGTGACACGCAGAGGCTGAAAACATGATGCGCCTGGGCGGGGATGTGCTGTGGTGATATCTGCAGCCTGGAACAGGTCTAAAGCAGCGTGCGAAGGCTGAAAACGGCCAAAGGGTGAGGGCTGAAGAGAGGGCGAGGCTACATTCGGTGTATAAGATGCACCCAAATTTTCACCCTCTCTTGGGGGTGTGGGGGAAAGTCCCTCTTACATTCAGAAAAGTACAGTATATGATGCTGTGAATGGCTAAATGGATATAGCAATTCTTTTGTCAATATAAAGAAAAATAACGTAGACATCTTTCCTCTTTGTTTCTTAGCATTAATGATAGAACAGGTGATTTCTGGAAAGGAGTTTATTGCATCCTGTTATGATATTCCATTGTTAAGTTTGCTACTTCATTCAAATGTAATGACATGAAACATTTTCCTGATATTGGATAATAATAATTATTAGTTGTCCATACTATCTTTTGTGGGATATTTCCAACATTAAATTCCTATATGTTTTTTAATCAACATTTTAAAGATAGCTGTAAAATGAGTCAGTGGATTCAAATGTTCAGCATTTCTAAGGATGCTAATAGGCATGTTAGTATTATAAATTAAATTAAGGAGTTCTTGGTGTTCTCCAAGCTTGGCTGTTTGTTTGCAAACATGTCATTGCCCAACCAGATAACTTCATTAATGGGAGGGAGAAAGGGATTTACTAGCTATCTATTAGTAAGTGTAGCTTGTCCTGCCAGTCTTGGAATGGGTACAACCTGATTCCATGATTAGGGTACTTAATGTCAAAGTTGTCTCCTGGTGTGTGAATTATAGGCTATTTGTTTCCTTCTCAAGCTTTTGATTGAGAAAATAGTTTCCCAATTCAAAAGATAGCTAGTTGATAACAGTTTCAAGACATATTCTTTAATGGGCAGATTCAACCACCATTTCAATTGGTAAAACTGTTAGTATCTAGGAAATTTAGACAAACTGAGCCATCATTAGACACATAGATCACACAAACCACATTTATGCACCATTCAAAAGAGACAATAATAAAATCTAGGATGGAAACAAGAAACTAGGGTGCATCCTCTGCAGCAGCCAATATTCAGATAAACAGGAATCAATACCAGATGATGAGGCAGAAAACAATACCCTAATCAAGGAACCATCAAGAAGCAAACCACACAGCCACAAAGGAAAGCATGCACTCACCCATACTGACAGGCCAAGCTGCTGTATATAAAGTATATACTGTATTATATGATATATAAACAGGCAGCAAACCTCTTACTCATTTGCACTGATATTACCTATTTGGATAATGAAACATCTGCAAGCAAGCAGCTAAATTTTTAGAGCACCAAGGATTCAATCCCAAACTACATTCTTCTGTTGAAACTAACTAGGTTTATGTTGCATACCTTAGTTTACAGTTAATGTTTAAGTACACAATAGCTTTTTAAAGAATCAACAGACTAGATAAGCATTAAATATGTACCTCTTTTAGTATTAGCCCAAGGATTGGTGTTAGCCAAGGAATTCTTTGGGATTTTTTTCTGACCCAGGTCTCCTCCGGGTGCTGTCGGTCAGGCAATGTCAACTGGTGACCCCCAGGGGGAGAGCTTTCTCGGGTGGGGGGCACCTGCCCTCTGGAACGAATTGCTCCCGGAGATTCGGAGGATCCCGGACCTACGCACCTTCCGCTGTGCCCTCAAGACTCTGTTGTTCCAACAAGCTGGGCTGGCCTAATTCCAATTCTTTTCAACTTTTCATCTTTAATTTTTTAACTCTTGAGGTTTAAAAATGGGTTTTTAATTAGTTACTGACCATATTCTTTAATATATATTTTAAATTGTTATTAATTTTTCTATTTGTGTGTTCTTATTCTGGCTGTACACCGCCCTGAGTTCTTCGGGAGAAGGGTGGTATATAAATTCAAATAAATAAATAAATAGATAGATAGATAGATAGATAGATAGATAGATAGATAGATGATAGATAGATAGATAGATAGATAGATAGATAGATAGATAGATTCAATGAAAATAATGGGGGGGGGGTGGAAATCCACTGAGAGCATATTGGGAGGTTTGACTTAACCCCAAAATGATTAAGTACCAAAGACAGCAGTTATCTGTGGATTCAGTTTTGCTTTTTAATGAAAAGTATTGTATGGATTCAAACACTGATTCAAAGAAACG